GGCAATCCACTCACCTCAGCCTCCCAAAGGCGTGGGATTACAGACTGAGCCACTGAGCCCGGCTTATGTGTATTTTACTATAGTTTTTTTTTTTGAGTTGGAGTCTCACTCTGTCGCCCAGGCTGGAATGCAGTGACACACTCACTCACAGCCACCCCAGCGTCGACCTGCTGGGCTCTGGCAATCCTTCCACCTCAGCCTTCCAAGTAGCCAGAGCTACAGGCACGCGCTACCACACCTGGCTAATTTTTTATTTATTGTAGAGACGAGGTCTTGCTAAGTTTCCCGGGCCGGTCTTGAACCTGTGGGCTCAGGCAATCCACTCGCCTCGGCCTCCCAAAATGCTGGAATTACAGGCTGAGCCACTGAGCCCAGCCCCCATAATTTTTTTAAACAGAAAACTAATACATATGTACATAAAAAGTAAGTGCAGCAAAAGATTAACAGTAGAGCAAACACTCATGTTTCCACCACTGGTAAGAAATAGAGTATTGCACCAGGCGTAGTGGCTCACACCAGTAATCCCAGCACTTTGGGAGGCCCAGACGGGAGAATAGCTTGAGGCCAGAAATTCAAGACCAGCCTGAGCAACATAGACCTCATCTTAGAAAAAAAAAGAAAAAAAGAAAGAGTATTTCCAGTTCTCTATAAATTCCTTGTGTCCCCTTCCCAACTCCAGCCCCTTTCTCTGTTGGAGAGGAAGCCACTCACCTGACTTTTATCATTTCTTTGCTTTTTAAAAATAGTTTCAGCACCACTCTCTTCATCTCCAATGCAGTTTAATTTTGCCTGGTATTTGAACTTTCTGTAGACAGACTCGTATAGAATATATCCTATGGTCCTAACTTCTTCATTCAACATTGTTTTGGGAGATTCATCCATGTTGTGTGTGAAGCTATAGTGTGTTCATACTTAGTCTGTGTAATTCATGGTGTTAGATTGAGCCATATTGAATTGCTCTTTTTTTTTTTGAGTCGGAGTCTCACTCCGTTGCCCAGGCTGGAGTGCAGTGGCATGCTCACGGCAATCCCAGCATGGACCTGCTGGGCTCTGGCAATCCTTCTGCCTCAGTCTTCCAAGTAGACAGAATCATCGGTGTGTGCAACCACGCCCAGCTAATTTTTTGATTTATTGTATTGTATTTTTGATTTGATTTTTGATTTATGTTGC